TACCACTGGAGCAGTGAAAGTTGGCACACTATTGACTAGTTTATTGGACACTGTCATGGGGTAGTAAGCGAGGAGTATGTAATTCAAGTTATACCTTATAATGCCGCTACACCAGTGCAAGGAAGAAGCTAATGAACTGAAGAAAACATTGACATGACACCGCTCTGATCATATATATCAGAAGACAATTGTGTGCTCCAGAATGTGAAAGACAATATGGAGTGGTAGAAGACAATGACGAACTTACAATGGCTCCAATGTCCTAGATTTAATGAGGAAACATATTAAAGAGGGGCTAGGTAAGCTAATATCACATGCTTTACAACCTCATTATTGTCCTTTGGAATCCATTTTGAGGTTGCAATTAGGGGTCAAGAAGATGGTTGTCTCAGATGAATGGGTTAATGTTCTGTCTCAAGGATCAAGACGACAAGAGAAGTTGAAATGAAAATTTGTGATACATGTGAATATATAGTGGCAACCTCATATACTTTAGTGTTTTTTTTAATCTTCTAGATGCTGATATGAATTCTGCATTGGTTGCTTCAATGAAGCACTTAAAAGAATGATTTATACCATTAAATCTCATGCTAATTTTCAAGCACAGTGATGGGGAAATAACAAATATCCTTAACGTAGAGCATCTGTGAAGTCTGAATTCTAAAAGCCCCAATATTTTCCCCAAGTTCTCTACTTATATGGATAAGCAAGAGAAACTTTTAACAAACTTCACTAGGGAATTTTACAATCAGCTAGATCTAATGAGCACTTTAGCGCTTTGCCCATGTTGTATTTCTCATTCTTTTTGTCTTACATTATTTGGAATCTTTTCTATAACGGATTCCTCATTTTCTTCAAGAAAGTGGTGGAAAAAATATGACATTGGAGCACCGCACTATAGCGATCAAGGTGCTAATCAAACCCTTTGTTGTTCGGTGTAAATTACAGAGTACATTACAATGGTTGCACACCCAAGGAGGAACATGATGTCAATTAGTAGGCCCTTTTCTATGTCCACTGTAATGCTACTCTGAAATTTGACAACTGAGTAGGAAAGTAATGGACGATGACCCAATCTACTTGGATCATTCATTCATGGAGAATCCAGTTGAGGAACGTTTGATGGAAGTGGAGGAGCCACTTCTTAATAAGTAAGCAGCAATTGAATAAAAGATGAGCCCCATGAGCATGGAGGTAGAAAAAAGTGGGACTCCACAAACAAAGGATGACCATAATTTGCCGGGGCGACTGTAGATGTTTAAGGAGATTCAATGGAAAATTTAGAATAAGATGTAGGAGGTGGTGGTGATGATTATTATGATGCATCGGATACATACGATGATGGCGACATAGGAGTAGCTAACATGAACAAGGAGCTGAGTCGCTTGGGGACCTTGGCTTAGGACGAGGTACCCAAGTTCCACATCTGACAAAACTCCTTCCTCAAGAACTATGGATATACTCAAGATGATATTGGCCATGGTCAGGGGCTAGGAGAGGGTAACCAAGCTCCCAACTGATAGATCATTCAACAAAGCCTTGCCATTCATATTGACTTCTGAAAGTGCAATTTCCCTTTTGTATTTATACTTTTCACATTTGATTGGTCCTATGAAACTCATTATTATTATGCACTCCACTTTTAAAGGTTTAATAAATCTAAAAAACATAAAGAAAACCCCTAGTATATAAAAGTTTCCAAATTCTCATCCAAATAAATAGCGTCATAATGGATTTTCCACAAACTAATATAATGAGATTTCTAAAAGTTTTCATTATTTTGTCATCCTTTGGAGTTGGCTTAGCCATAATTGGTGAGCCGACAAGCAAATCAACGAGGTGACAATGTATCCAATCTAAAGGCAAATTAAGCAATTTGAATTTAAAAAGAAAAGTTATCACGCAAGAAAAATAGCTGTAAAATCACAATAATGTAAATGTGGAGCAATTTGCAAGAACTTAATGATGGATATGAAAGTCAGTGCTAGTAAAAATGGACAGCCATTTTTTAGATTTTATTTTTGTATAAATTATGTCAAACCTTATTATGAACATATGGAATATGGCGACGACAACAGCATGTCGCAGAAGGAGATAACTAGTGGACGACCCACTAAGACTAACGTATCTACGCCTACATCCCGAGCGGCAGTCAAAGGGGGGCGTGAATGCAAGAAATTTTGGGAAATCGACATATAATGCTGTTATATTTATATATTTTTCTATTTTATATTTTACAATCAAATCCTCATTTTTTAGAATATAAAGAATATTTTAAATTTTTTTTTTTTTAATGCATCAGATTAAGCCCGAATTTAATATGTCTATACCTTCACCATCATACACTACAAAAATACTTATAAAATAAAATCACCAAATTACTTTTATAAATAATAGGGTAGCTTGATAATTTTATTTATTTTAAATTATTTTTAAAATATTTTTATAGTTGTGTAATGGTAAGAAATATGAAGATACTAAATTTGTGCTGAATTTGATGTACAAGAAAAAAGATAAAATTCAAATATATGGGACTTGATTGTAAAATATGAAATATATGATATTATTTTTAAATATTAAAAATATCATAGAATTCATCTGTAAATTTGCCTAAAATTTAAACTTCATTTTTTCTAGAATCGTAGTTCCACAGGAGATCCTACAAAATTCCCAGAAATTTTGAACTCCATCCAAACTCCATTATGCCAACTTTTTCTTTTTTTTTGGGTGAATTCAATGCTAACCTTCACATAGCAAAGAACGTTTTTGACAATGACTACAACATAAAATCCACATCCAACTTCATAGCACGATCTATATGATTCCCCACTATTTCTTTTGCTTAGTTGTTTTAATCATTTCTTGTTAGTATAAACATTTGCAAAAGCTTTTGTCCAGGAAGGTGAAGAATAGAAAATGAAGAGAGCACATGACATGAGAATCTCTTTTTGCCAAAGAGCCATGTTACACTGTATATTGTCAAATTATGATATTATTGTCTCATTTAAAAAAAAATGCAGCCCCCTAATGAGTTTTGTATTCTTTTTGGCTGCATTCTGTACCAACTTTCCTTCTTTTTTCTTTTCTTTTCTTTTTTTTTAAGCCTTCCTCATCCAACCAGAGCTCCATATTCACGATGAGAATTCGTAAAGGGTACATCAAATGAAAAAGAAAAAGAAAAAGTGTAGAAAAGAAGGATTGTACACCAATTTTCCTTCCTCCCCATCTTCTTTTGCTATACAACCTGGCCTCAGCTCGC